TAAACATATTTATAAGAGCCGTGTCACGAAGAGGTTGTAAACAGCATAGAGTAATGAGAAGAAACATCAAACAATTGTCTCTCATTAGACATTACTTAGTTACAAAAACAAAAACAATTTCCTAGGTTTCTAGGAAATCTTACTTTATAGATCAATTGTTTTTCATTCCATGCCACAGAAATGAAATGATTTTTGAATGAACAGATACAACTCATAAATGTACATCATGAATTTCAGATATTTTTGCTTTTAACATTTGAGGGCATGGTTTTTTAATACATCAATTTAACACAAGTTGACTGACGACTCAGATGTGTATGTCACTGTTCTGGAACATAAATAACTTTACATCATTATTCTAATGTCATAATTGTTAGAAGAGAAAAACATAATAAATAGGTTTGATTAAATATATTTTAGTTGTATGCTACGTAAGGAAAGAAGAAGAATTGTAGGAAAAAATGGAGTGAAGTTGGGAGTTCCTGTGACAGGAGATAAAGTTCAGAGAAAGCTTCCCTGAGAGGGGTATACTGAGGACCCAGAAAAACAAAGGGAGAAATTCTACTGGAATTTGCTGGGGGCAGTATCAGAGGCAGAGGGACAGTGTGTGCAAAGGCAGTGACAGAGCACTAGGTTCAGTGTACCTGAGGTGCAGCAGGCCCATTGGAGGTGAAACAAAGTAAAAGGAAGAGAGAGCACAAATTGTCGTAAACAACACAGTGAAGGTGGCATGGCTTATATTTTAAAAGAATTCTACATGATCTGTGAAGTTTTAAAAGTTATGTGGGGAGATATATCAAGGATGGAAACAAAGAGGCCATTAAGAGGCTAATAAAATAATCCAATCACAAGGCAAGGTTAGTCTGGAGTAAGGATGATAGTGGTGAAAATGGAGAATTGTTTTCGTTTAGTGAATGTGTGGCTAGAGCTGGCATCCCAAACAGGGGTCTGTTCTGATGGAGTGTGCTAAATTTGAGTTAGCAGTTAAACAACCAAGAAGAAACTCATAGAAGGCAGAAGGAAATACTAACTGAAAATAACATTATATACCTTGAAAATGACATGGAAATATTCACATGTCAAATAAGATGCTTTAAAAATTTATCTGCAAAATGTTTTTAAAAAGTACATTTCCTCTAGTGTCCACATAGCTATTTTGAAAGATACAGTTAATTAAAATTGTATTGTTGATTAAAAGTTGACATCGGTCAAAATTTCCTGTTATAGGTTTTCATATTGACTTTTTAGTTTTGGTGTGTTGTATATTTGCTTTTAAAACTCTTTAAGGATTCCTATATGAAGTCTGTTGAGGCAGAAGCTTGTGGAATGGAACTTGTTGATCTACTGTGCTAAAAGTTCATGATCTACAACTTTTCATGTTCCTACAGTCTTGAGACTTTATTTTTATATATTCATCATATCCACTCTCCATATAAGAGCACTTCGTCTTCTTGTTCTATGTAATGTGATCAAATGATACTCATTCATCTCAGTTCTTAACTATGTAATGCGTATCTCTTAAGAATCGTAAGTGATCTTAAATGATGAGTCACCATGTTTTAAAGTAGCTACATTAGAAGGAATCATTGTAAATACTGAGGAATGCACAGTAAAATCTGAACCCATTCTAGATGAGTACGTACAGAATGGAAGTCACAAAAAATAGTATTTTAAAAGTTTACCTAGATGCAAGCAAAGTGATCTCAAGGTGGCCTTAGTCTGAAGAAAATGACTGAGGGAACCTGGTGGAAGCAGCCATCTCAGTCAGTCACATAGAGAGACAATTGACATTTTCAGTTTTCATATGGTATGATTGTGTGAGGGTGTTTATAAAGTTGAGGAAGAACAAATACTGAAAGAGGGAAAGAAGGTTCATAATAACCAAATACAGTTTTTAGCTTCAATATTGTTGTTTGAAATGTGTCCTTCCACCCCCTCCTCCTTCTTTCTCTTCCCCTTTCCCTTTCCTCCTCCTCCTCCTCCTTCTTCTTCTCCAGATTATTCTTTACAAAGATGGGGAACAGCTGAGTAAACCATATTTAGTTAATTATTACTTGATGCCAAAATAGAATTCAATTATATACATTATCTAATTCAAATCACAGAGCCTTCAAATAGTGGAAAGATACGGATTTGCCAATATTAAGAGGCTAGTGTAGATAGCAATACCCTAACTGCCAGGCCTACCTCAGTGAGGAAGTGAGTCATACAGCCTCTTCGAACTTCTTGCAAATGCATAAATTTCTTTAAAAATTAACATAGTACAATTGAGAAAAATATTTTGAAATATTTTATAGCTGATTTATTTTTAGTTTTAATTTATAAAGAGTAGTTTATGTTCATAAAAGTAATGAAAACACCAAATAGTGAAGAATTTGTGTCACCTTTTCTATTTTAGTAAGCCTATAATTGATATTAAGAATAATTTTAGAAGTTATATATGTTATATGCACATATGTATATGAAACATCACAAAATATGCTTTTATAATAAGGTTATAATGTGTATACCATCTTGCTTGTAGCAATCATGATTATCCATGTAGCTAGATTATGAAGTCATGAAAGGTCTGTTTTCCCTATATATCAAAAGAAATAGTACGTAGAATAATAAAAGTGTTGGTATCAAGGTTTTAGAAAGTCCAATAAAGTACTGTTCAGAAGTTTTCTCTCGTAAACTGTATGAACCAGTGTACCAATATGCACTTGGGGGAATAATTTCATCTTTATCTGTTATAGGATAGATTGTATCCCAGGAAAATCTGCTACTTAATTCCTGACCCCAGTACTTAACAATGCGATGGTATAAGGAGGTAGTGATTCTTAAGATATAATTTTCTGACAATTAGGTCAAGCAGATGTGCTGAAGCTAAAACGACTGATGTCTATATTGAAAGAGGAGATTTGGGCACAAGTATATACAAAGAAGATCATAAGTAGACATGATCTACCAACCAAGGTACAAAGTCATAGAATAAATCAATTCCAGTGACACTTTAATTTCAACCCTTAGAATTGTGAAAAACAAATTTACCTTGTTTAACCAACTTAGGATGTGGCATGTGTTTCGGAATACCTAGCAAACTACAGCATCTATCGTTCTACATTTTACAGAGTGGAAGTGTGTGCTTTACATTGTCATTTTCTTATTCCTTATATTGTTTTCTGTGTGTTTTCATTAAAATTCTTTGAAGAAAATTATTATATAAATATACTTAGTGGTATTCATCTTCACAAACACTCCAGAAACATTTTACTTAGTGTATTATTTTCACAGCTTTTAAAAAATACATTGATATTCTGCTTTAGAATGCTTGATGTTTGGTTGTTAAAAAAGCATCTAGGATACTGCATACTTCTATTAATATTCATGGATAAAGGAAGAAAGACATCAATACAGTGATAAAGTAGGTTGAGCAAAAAAAAAAAATAGGTTTCAGTGATACAAAAGTAAAGCATTTCTCATGAAAGTAATAATATCTACTTTATCCCAGAACATCATTCATGCTATGATCACTAATGGTTTGTAGGTTTCCTAAAACAACAAGGTTTGTTTTTGTTGTTTCATTTTGTTTTCTGGCTGCTTTTACTCTCTCACAATTTAAGTAAGAATTTTGTCTCAAATGCTTGCTTCCCCTAACTCTACACTTTCTTTTTCCATTCCCCAGTTCTTGCCAGCCAGTGATGAAATGCAAATGTTAACCTCTGATAAGTCACCTAACTCCAAAATGATAAAACAAATATTTTTTTCTACCTTCTTCAAAGATTTTTCTGGTGATGTTTAAATACTAAAATGGATATGCTCTATGATGGGAAGTGTAGCTGCAAGCTTCGAGAAGCAGTTGGAGTAGGAAAAGTTATCAATATCCATTTTAAAATCCTCACAGTTTAATGTATCAGGTTTCCTTTTTTGCTTCTTTAGATCTAAAGAAATTCAATACACGTTTTATGAAACCAGTCTCCAGAAAGAACTAATGACTCTCAGCCTCAATCCTCTGTGTGATTGGGGTATTTTCCTATGGAAAAATTGTCAGTTCTTTTTTAAAAAGAAGACAATGAGACACATAAAATGTTTAATAATAACAGTGTTTAAGTACCTAGTACAAGAACAAGCAAAGATTTACACCAAAGGAATCTAAATGTGGAGTTTACACATTTATCCACGAAAGTACAAATATTTTAAATAAAATAGGAATTCAATTAATAAAATGATTTAATCAATTCTCATTTTACCAACATAAAAATCAAGATCTATATAATTTTACCTACCAGAAAATAAATAGAAATGTTAAGCTAGGAAAACCCTTGCCAGTTCATAGATAATAAAGTCCATCAGTCTATTGCACTGTGATTTAAACACATAATCTATCTCAACTCTATGTTTGACATCATTATGACTACTGGGTTGGCACTGATATTCAACATGGTACTGCGTTGTCATTTCTGCTTAAAACTTTCAAATATGTATGTTCAGTGGGACAGATAACACTTCTTAAAACCTGTTAGTGAAAAACCCACAAGCATTCAATTTCTTATTCTACTGCTTGCTCTTTAAATATCTTGAAATAAATAAACTACAACCACAGCCTAGGGAAATACTTTTAGGATTTTCAGTATTTGCTATATATTTGATTTTATCATAAAAATATGGGCTTAAGAAGAAAATATATATGTCACAATGCTAACTTGGAACAGGACTATAGAATGCTGGTCACAGCTGCCTGAGATTCAGGTAGCCCCAGGCTCATTTCATTGTTGACACTGGGTGGTTTAAATGAATATCATTCTAAAATTTATCTTTTCCACAGTAAAACATGAGAAATATTACTTACAGTCTGTGTCATCCTGCAAATTGAAGTAATAACGATTTTTTTAAAAGGCTTGAGCCTTACATTAGCGAATTGATGTTGGGTCATCTATTGGGAAATCTTGAATGTTCAGAGAGTAAGAAGAGAAGGCCTATTTCAGAGTGCACCAACAGAAATTCTGAGTTGAAATGGGTTGGGTAAAAGTAGCGTTTTATTCATGTCTTACAAACGTGGTTTTACAAACATCATACAGAGCTGGCACAAAGGAACAGACACCATCTTGTACACCATGCTTCCTTCCAGGTCACTTCTATTGAGCTATAACATCAGAACAAGTCGGTTACTGAGTTACACAGTTCTCCAAACATAGATACCTCCCAATTAGGGTGGTCAGATTGACTAATCAAACAAACAGTTAATTTACACGTTCCATACAGTGCAGGATTTGTAACAGAATTCAAGATATTCACACTGATATTGTTTTAGATTATAAAACAGTACAATTTTCAGAAATGATGAGATTATGTATCTCCCTGCCTGTTTTAATTTCTTTCTTGCTTTTCTCCTCTCTTTTCTTAAAACTGGTTTCAAATAGTTTTACTTCACTTTTCACGATCAAAACACTTGAAATATTAAAACTAAAAAACTATTTACAAATTACCCATTCTAATTTTAAAACTATGGGTTGGATTTGCTGTTCCACTTTACAAAACAAAATCATCTCTTTCCAATAAACACAGCACATCTGGTATCAGCGTTAGCTGCTGACGGTTACGTAGGATGCTTACAATCAACTCCTTGTAACTTCACAGAGTTCCAAAATATATTATTTCTATGGCCCATGGTACCAAGCATAAATGCACAAAAAGGCCATTTGACTTTCCCAAAGTCCACACTGGGTGCAGTTCATTTGTGAGGCTTTCACAGAAATGTTGAGCGAACCAAGATGATGTGAGATGACTTTGTAGTGGAATGAAGACCATGACTGGGGAATATTCAGTTTTTAATCCCAAAGTCATCATAAAGCACAAAAAGAAGTTCATTTTCAATCTTTGTACACATAGAATGAAATACATTTTGTTACACTAGGCATAGTCATAAAAAGCATGTATAAGGTTTTAGGAAAATGCATTTTCATAGAATTTACAAACACTGTGATATCAAACACATTCTCAAAAACCGTTAAAGTACTGACACAAAACCTGACTTGAAATGTAAATTTTTCAGTAGACTTTATTCTTGCATATTTAATAATTCGGCTGTACCCGAGTTTTACTTATATTCCTCTAAAAACTCCAATATAGTGATATCATCCTTAAGTTAACACTTTCCAAATAATCACAGGGTACCGCTTTCCTCTAATAGGCTTTGAATGAACCTTGGCACTGGAAAACAGTACAACATACAAGTCTTAACTGTCTTATACACAGTAGCTCAAGACAAGTTAGCCTAAAAAAATAGTGAAAAACACACTTTCTTGTGCTAATTTCACAGCCCTAAGTACCAATATATGTTGTGAACATATGTAAATTATGTTAGCTTTACTATTTAATGCTTAGTCTTTGTTTGTAGGTTTCAATTTGGCAATGTATAACATGTTAAGGGATTTCTTTCTTCACTTTTTTTTTTTCTTTTTTAGACAGTGTACTCGTTTCTTGAGCGTAACAAAGACTCACATGGCCATGCCCACTCAACATACAAAGGATGGCCTTGAAATACTTGGACAATGTACATACTTCCTACAAGAAAACTGTGTTCCTAACTGAATTTCTAGCTGAAATGTATTTCTATCAACTAGCTAATTCGACAACTTCACAAAGGTAAACAAAGGTTTCTTAGGCCACACTGAGACTTGTATTAGGCAGTGAAAAAATACAAGGCCATGGGGTTTATGTGAGGTTATATTTTACATTTTGACTCACATGTAACCTTCGTGGGGAGAAAATCAAATTTCAACCACAGTGTTCTCAGCTCAGCCCTTTGAGAAAAGTATTTCTCATTCTATTCACTGTCCTTTTGAAATGACTGTTTTTTCTCTCATGATAAAATTGTATCAAATAATTACAGACCAAAGAAAGCTGATCCAATATTTTTATATGCAGACAACCATTTGCACATGACATCATAATAAAAAAAAATTGAGAACATTTCTTTTTATCTTTGGATTTAAAGAAAACTATTGCCCCAACCTGAAGAAAAATGGATTAATTTTCATAAGAGAAGGCATGATTTTGATCTTTAAATCTTAATCCCTCAGACTTCCAGTGACATATTCATTTCTGAAATATTACTGGGACTTTGAAAAATGGTCATAAATGCTTAATCTGTCCCTATTTATATCACTGATAATCTGTAGTGGAAATTGAATATCTTATGAAAATTGTCCAACTTCTCTAATACAAGGGAAAATTATCATGGTGCACATTTATAGTTACTTTCTGGTCTACAAAGTCAATCCATTTCTAAACAACAACAAAAAAATAGCTTGCTATGTTACAAGCTTACAATCACATTTGTGAAATAAAAATCCTCCTTGCCTGGTAAAAACCCCTCCATTCTAACCCATAGCTAAGTCTCTAACCATCACAGAGCATATGCCACTTGGCAATCTGTCTCCTAGGAAAGTCGCAAATCTCCTTCCAGTGTTCCCCACCGGTTCCTTCTGCTGATGCACCCAAGACCAACCGCCCAATGGTCTCATTTTGGGACCCCCTTTCAGAATCCAAAACCAGAAATTCCACACTTATATCTTCAAGACCCTCACAAGGAATATCAAAGACAAATAGTTCATTGAATACTGCATTTGGGGTGCACTTCTTCACGTGAGTCTTCTTTTTGGAGATTCTCTTTTTAGCATGATACAGGTTCACTTTGACATAGGGATCTGCAATGATACATAAGAATCATCAAGAATAACGAAGCTCAATCACAGAAGCTTTCTTAAAATAACTATGCCCTTTCAGATTGAGACCTGTCAACACAATGTAGCAACAGTAAAAATGAGTGAGGACAAATGGTTAAGTATGGATAAAGTTGTTTTGTTTTGTTTTGTTTTTGCTTACTAACAAAAGTGAAAATAAGAAGGAACAGACAATAGAAGAGAAAGCAGTTCTAAATTAGAGGCTAAAGGAAAAACTGCAAAGGTAGAAAACAATGTAATAAAAATGAGAAGATGAAACATTGCATGAACATCCTTTAGTTGCCAACAACTCAATCCAGGAAATTAGAATTGCAATTTGGAGTATCTATGTCTGAGTGTTGGCTGTTTGTTTTGTTTTATCTTCTTTTTTCTTTTTTTCTGTTGACTGGAGATTTGGAACCAACAGTAAAGTCTTTGGGTTAAGTTTTTCTGTAGTTCTTCAGCTACTTGCTAGATTGGCTTTCTATTTCCCAGTATGACTCTTTCTGAGTCATTGTTAATATGTAGATTTAATTTTCATGCTTATTATAACATACTTTTAATGATTTTATTTTGTCTTTTTAATTGCAGCATATGTTTTCAACTTCATCTCAAATAATAAAATTACCAATAGATAATTGTCAAATGAAGCCTACATTTCTAGTCTTAATCATGAAAAATTAAGTATTGTAGCTCAATATGTATAAAGATTAAAAATTACACTGAAAGATAGTATGGTGTAAATAAAAGGCTTAGGGCTTCAATTTAGAACCCATAAATCATGTTTCTCATCTTGCTATGCAAAGAGGATATGATGTCTTATCTTCGTGAATTAGTCACAAAATTGAAATTTAATTCTTAAAATATTTGTATAAAATATTAGAAAAAAATAATAGTGTAAGGAAAGTGTTTTTTTTTAAATGCTAAACCTTTAAAAATCTTGTGATACTTAATTTTATTTTCTTTTGTTTTTGCCAGTGGTCCTTCAGTTAGGTACATATCACTCTTTTTCAGTCTCTTTAATCTGCCACTTACCATGTAATGGCTTTGTCTTGCAACTATATAGATTCCACTCTATTGCTCATAGCATTGACTCATATTATTTTGAAAAGTGAAAGATAAATAATTGCAAAACTTGTGAATGTACATAGAAGTACAACAAAAGCAGCGGTTATTGTTAGTTGTTAACTACTTTATAGTAATCACTTAAATGCTACATGTAAGTATCTCAGAAGTATTCTTACCTGAAAGTGCAGACACATCAGATTTAGGTAGATGCCGAGCCTTCAGGACAACCACAGTGAGAGTATTTGTAGTGGACTGATAGCAGAGAGAGATCAACAACTCACCTCGTCCTGAAGACTTCTAGACAAAGAGAAATGTATTAAATTATTGTTATTGTTATCATTTATTTTGAAGCTTGTTCTTTCCCCAAAAGTTTCATAATAATGTAATACTGTGCTATTTAAATGTGATATTCCTATGTCTTTTTATTTTTATATGGTCAGTAATCTGAGCAACTAAAACTGTTTTGCAGGGCCGTCATGGTTTAAACTACTTCTTGCCATCTTGTGGTGTTCTTAGGTACTGCAGAATTTAAAACGAAGTGAATTGGCCACACCCATTACTTACCAATATTGTAAGATTTTACATTACATTCCATGAAGATTTTTTTTTTGTTTTCCATTTTTTTATGACATATATGCTCTTTGAAACTATGAATGAAACAAAACTTAATACTTCGAATGAGTTTGTATAGGATACAATGACTCATTTTAAGTTTGATTATATTTTAAATTCTTTTTCACTGACATTAGCAGATTTTGAATTCCAGGAAAATTAGATTTACTCTGATCTCTACTATACTTCTGACATAAAGTTATACTAAAATAAAAGTTATTTTTCTTTTCCTTACCTTCATATCTTTAATCTAAGGGAAAATTACTTTAAATTCTGGACAGAATTATGAACTTTTAATATATTGCTTTTGGACAGTATCATAAGGTCTTTTTTGCATGATATGTATATTTAATTTGTCGTTAAAGACATTAGGTAATGTGTATAAGAGCTTAAAATATAAATCCTAATAGAAGTAGCTTAAGTTAGAGTTTAGAACTTTAAGTGATGACTTGGGCAGAGCACTTTGACCTGCAGCATGTGTATGCAACAGTCGGCACAGACAAGCTATGCAAATTAACACCTGAAGGAGAATAACAGGAGGAAATAGTTATTTATTCCCACTAATCATCTGGCTGCCTGGATAAAGCTACATAATGTCTCTGAAAGTTAATTTCCATTAATTTTGTCATTTAAAATAAAAAGAGATGCTCAATCAACAATCTAAAGTTATCCTTAACCTTAAAATAGCATGATTTTTTAAAAGAAACATAACTTAGTATGTTTGCTGTGTTCACTCAACCATCAAATTTAAGCACAAGTTATTCTGAAGTGCCAGTATTAAAATCAAGTAAGTTCCATATTTAAAGTACAAAAGGATTAAATATTTTAATTCATATGTAAGCATTCTCTAATAATCCTAGAGGGTCAAGCAATATAAATAAAAAAGAGAGAACACATTTCCCCTTATATAACACAGAAAAGGGCATTTAGAATTCAATATGATGTGATATTCCTTTCTTGAAAAGCAGTTACGTAAAAAGGCAGTACAACTTTCAGATGCTCAACAGGAATTGATTTAATTTTAAAACAAATTAATTTATGATATTTTTAAAACGTTTGTTCACTTGCTTATGACTAAAAAGTATTCATATGTAATTTAAGTCAAACAGTCCTTGCCACAATACCCACAGTACTCACAAATGAAGCTAACCAAAATTTTATATAAATGATATTAAATATCCATAAAGAATGTCTGTATATTTTATATCTTTGCAATCCTTTAATTATTTCAACTGTGGGGTAAATTTGCTTTCACCTGCTTTATTTTCTTGCTTTTTATTTGATTATAATTAATAATAATTAAATGATATACATAAAGTTATGATATTTAATAAAAATCCTCAAGGTACAAAGCCTCACATTAAAGGTGGTCTGTAAGTAGTTTGAACACTATAAAAGAATTACCCTAACATTTCTTTTGATGATCTCTCTGTTCATTAACATTTTTCCATCAGACAATTCGATTCCTGAAAGTGGAATCAGGACTTCTCCAATGGTATCATCTCTTGAAAATCTGTCAAAGCTCAAGATGGTGAAATGCAAGGTCAACTCCTGAATCTGGGTGTAGGGGATTCCATAGAACGTGAAGGTTTCATCAAATGCTGGGTCCAAGGTCTTTCTCAGCACTCTGGTTTTCACTTTATGCTTCTTCTCGGGGAGGATTGTCATTTTGATGTACGGGTCAGAGGTCATGGACTGCTCGTCCATGGCTGGCAGCCCACGGGCCTCCTTGATGTTCACCATGAATGCTTTCTTCTCGAAGTTGTACTCTAAGGAGAAATAAAGAGTACCCAACTTCTCTTGTTTGTCTTCTAAAGTAAGGGAAGTGCTAGACTTTAAGCTATCAGGAGAAACTGTTTCTTTTTCTCCTTCTGGAAAGAGCTTTGAGGTCCCATTCTCAGGCTCAGAAATGGTGCCAGCTTTGAGGTTTGTTTTGGGAAAGTTGCCATTGAGATCTCTCTTCTCTAGATCAAGATGCAATGAATTTTTTGGCACAGCTGGCTTATTCTTTACTTCATGTTTGTCATCTCCTCCAAACTTCTTTTTGCTATTTAGGTTTTCAGGATAAATATCAACTCCTTTTAGCACATGCACGAACTTGTATGGTGGAGTCTTGTTCGATTTCGATGATTTTCTCTGACAGCAAATCCATGCAAAGAGAGAGACTGTGAAGACGAGGCCAAATGCACTGAAGATCCCCACCACTGCAGGGATTTCATCTGAAAAATCAAGTGACCAGCAACATACATTAAAGAAGAAGAGTGGAGTTATAAGCCTATTGGGAAAGTATAATAGAGCTAATAATTGCTACTGATTGGACGGAGTGAATTACTTCCAACAGTTCTGGGCATAAGTTTTGTGCACATTTCATATTAAGTCCAGGTATACAAACAATAACAAGTACACTGTGATAGAAACTTCTTTTTCATAAGCAAAATGGAAGCATGAAACTGTGCCTCCATCTGACACAGTGGGATGCTTAATAACCCTAATCTATCTTTGTTTTCTCATGTAATATAAGTCAAATACAACATAGTAGGTTGGGTAATTTCATCAGTTTTTCATTAATATTTTGATGTTTTGCAAAACATCTCTTCATACTGATTGTGGAACACCAAATTCATATTTTTCAAACACAGAGAAATTTTGTAATTTTCATGCTGTTTTGTTTCCACAAGTTTCAAGAAGATAACACATAAGGTCTCATTGGTTCACATAATTTTGAAAAATGATGGGCTATTATCTCTCATTGTCACAAGTTCATTAAAAATTTCCATCCCAGTTATGAATTATAATTCTATAAAATAAATGCACAGATAGTTGAATAAAAAGAACAAAAAATAAGATGTAAATTTTAAGCAATTTATAAAATGCTACAGTACCTTTGTGTATAAACTCAACATTTCTCATCACTGAGTTATACAAAGTATAATTTTAATTTAAATAGAATAAAAGCAGAGCAATGATTTTAAATAAATCATGATTCCTTAACATGTGATAAGAAGAATGAGTATAGATAATTTAGAGTACATTTTCATTCATAACTGATTTTTCCCTAGAATATTTCCACGTGGCAAATATTAATTGAATTAAAATTGGCATTATCTTTTTGAGTGAGGACACATTAAATCACTGACATTGTGGTACTGATTATATGTTGTTTATCCTTTTTCATGCATAAGCATATTTCTCACTCAAATGATTAACATTGTATAAGTAAAAGCAACATTGCTTCATCTGGACACAATACATCAACTGAGAAACATTTAACATAAAATAAATACAGCTAATGTTATCTACATCCCATTCTATTTCAGTTCATTTTACTTTAAGTAGTTAATAATAATGTTACAAGCAGCAGTCAGGAAAGGGTTAAGAATTGTTTAACTACAGGAAGAACAACCTTTTGTTACCCCAACTTCCCTACTTTCCAAAAGACTTACACTACCTACTTCATAATCACAAAAACTGAACTAAGTGAAATCAAAAAACACAGAACTAAGTGAATAAAAATGAATAATAATAAATGTATAAATGAGGCCAACAGAACAAAAATCCACTAAAAATTCTGTAGTTTCATGTTTGAAAATAACTGAAATACCTCAAAATAAGATAAGCCAGGAATTTACCAAATAGAAAAAAATATTGAATTGATGCTACAGAAAAAAAATGAGATGAGAGCAAATATAATCAGTTAAAGTTAGTGTTAGCTTTTCAGGTTTCCCTTCAATGTAAGTCTTTATGGGAAAATAAATGTGCCCTCACTTCTGGACTCTAATAATGTATACTCAGGAAGCACAGCTGTCATGTACAGAGGCAATTTTGCAGGAAATGTAGGAAGAACAATAAAAACAATTGAAAATTATTCTTTTCTGTGTAGCCTGATAGTCCACACAGGAGCATATTTTCACTAGCACAGTCTCTGGATATGTCTCAATATCCAAATTATTCTGATTTCAAATAAATAATTGGATATAAATATCAACAAAATCAGTTCAATCACCTAAGCTACAGTCTGTAAAAACAATAATTTTATGAATAATATTAACAAATTGTTTCTACTTAGTACCTTCATCAAATGACAAAACATTCAAGATATCATGGACTGAAGTACTACCACTATTTTCTCTATCAGTAAGTGCTTAAGATTTTGAGAGCAAAGATCATAGTCCTTGTATTCATTTTACTAATATTCACTTTAATAAAAATTATCTCTCTAACTTTTAGAACAATATGCTTTCGAAGATATTTGTGATGTCTGTCTTAGACCTAAAATATTACTTATTCTACAAAGTACATCTAATTTTAATTACTGAAATATAGGGAGATATCTCTAGAGCCAAACATTAGGTACAAGGAAAGAAAAACTAAACTGGGAAACAGAAACCCTAGTTCAAGTTTCCAGCAGTTTTTAATTACTGTATCCTGCAACATTTCCTTCATCTCTCTGGCTTCTGTTATCTCACCAGAAGATAAATATATTGTACATTCTTTAAGCATATCTCAAACCTTCAATATAGAAGTTGTTTAATGCCAGACTAAACTCTTACGTAACCACAGACATATTTGACTCCTCCTAATAAAATACAGATACCCTACAAATAAAACTCAACGATAAAATTCATGAAACCAGCATGCGAACAACAGACATTTTGCTTTAACTCACCACATGCTGCAATTTGCAGAGCTACTGGCACGTTTAGGAACTTCTGCGAGGTAAAAATCGCCCTTAAGGAAGGCAATATAAAGAGAAAGATACCGAGAAAGGGAGAGAACCCAGAACTAAGCCACGATGATCCTTTAACTGATCTCACTTTTCTTTCAAATTAACTACCCTAAATCCATATCCAAGATCCACTGGGAGGAAAACACAGTTAACCTTGTACTATTCAAGGAACAACCGCAGCCATAAGTTGAGTAAGTTGCTTACCAAATTCTTCCCGGCTGGTAGCGATCGGAGCCATTTTTTTGCTGCGTGCTCTGTCCGAGGTGCTGAACGGAAAACTCCCTGCCTTGGTTCACTTGCCTGGATCAGAAGCGCCGGCTTTCCCGAGTGCTGAAGACAACAGCGCAGACCCCAGGGGACCTGCGCCTGCAGCGGGGAGGAGGCAGAGAGGGAGGTCCACTCGCCCTCGCACCGTGATTTGCCACCGCTGTTCCTGTTTTGGCTCTTCTGAAAAGCTCGCCTCTGAGACTCCAGACGTGGCTGAAACCCGAATTGACGCAATCCTGACGCTACAGGGCTGAAATCAGCACACCCCCCAGCCAGTGAAGCCTCTCTTTCTCGCCCTCCTTTCTTCCTACCTCCTCTCTTGAGGATTCAGCATATACTCATCAATTGTTTTAACTTGGACTACTAGATATTAGCTTGGCTATCCTTTGAGGGAACATGCACCCTGAAATTGATCGTTATCAGTTCCTAGTACAAAAATCCCCTGATGACCTAGATGAGTACAAATGCATGAATAATGTGATTTACAGAGACAATTTTAAAAAGAGTGATAAGATATTTCTACATCAAATGACCCATTGTAGAATGCAAAAAGGTATTGTCTTGTTTCCTAAAATATTCTTTGGCATATTTTATGTATATTATGCTTATAATAGTTATGATAAATCCACTTCAAAATTATCTATGTGATATAATTTCCCACTACAATTCTTTACATTGTAGAAATCATTAGTCTAAACATTTAGCTAATGCTATTGCTCATACTGGTCTCTACTCTTTGATATCTGACATTTGACAAGCTAAAGTACTTAGGAACAGATGGGCAGAATCCTTTCTGTGTCAGAGTAATGAGACTGATTCTACAGTAATACATATGATTCAAGGCCCTGACTTCCCAAAAGTCTGGGAAAAAACAATTACAAGAATTATGCATAGATCTAAAATAGCACTGCTTCTTTTTGGTTGTTATAAAGGGAAACTTTTTCCCCCCTATTGATATTCTCTGGAGTGATGACCAAAGAGTATTTCTCTAAAAAAAAAAAAAATTCAGAAATTTATAAAGAAAAAACCTCAGATTGTGACTCCAACTGTCACTTACTGCTCCACAAATAACTTCATTGCTTTAACTTAATGAGGAAATGATATTCAGAGTGCATTAGGATAAGGAAGGAGGGGATGCTGGGGAAGTCTCAGAAAGCTACTGTACAAGTGGCAGGATCCTGCACATTGGCAAGCAGCCACCCTGGGCTTCAGCGCTGTCTGGAGAGAAATTGGCTTCAGTCCTTTGCATCATGGAAAATTTTATAAACCAGAGTTTCTTCTTTCCCTTTCTGCTTGCTCCCCCACACTTGGCATTTTAGCATTCCTCTCACAGATTTTTTCATACCTTACATCTTTGTGTTATGAAAACACACAAACTAATTTGCTGCATTTAATTTTCCACTGGCAATATTTGTGATAGTGTCCTTATCATTTTGCCTCATTCAGATCACCTGCTTCTCAGTTACACATGCACCTGGTAGGAGTTGTCCCAAGAAGCAAGCATTCAGTAGATGAAAGGGTGTCATTTGTGTGAGATCTATGTTCAAGGAAGACAAAATATATGTTGCATGCTTTGTGAATGTGTGTGTTTTCTAGTTGTTATTGCTAACATATGGTTAAGCTTATTTGTTATAAACATAAGTGTATTACGTATATGTTATACATACTTTAGTGACTCATTATTTTTTTACCTTCAGATGGCAAAATTCTGTCTTAAACTCATCCTGCTTATTTAAAAGATGTCTTACCAAAGCTCTAAACTATTCTTAGCTATCTCATTTCTGAGGACACATTGTGATAAGATTTCTTCTTGCCCAGAGCTAATGCTACTATTACTATGTTATTGCTTACTTCTGTAAGTAAACTGAAATAAATGTTATTAATTAAAATATCTACATTTTAACCAGTTTCATTTGATGAACAATTCTTTATTCATTTTCCAATTATTTACATAAACTTCTAATCCCCCAAAAAGAAGTAGGCCCCAGACAAAAACCCTGCAAGTTTCTTATGTTTTGGAAATATGCCCTACCACCATATTGCATTGTTCTTTTTTTTTCCTGCAAACCAGAAATCAATTTGCTGATGTAGCCATCTGATTCTTGAAGCAGGAGACATGGGAGGAGGGATTGTTGCTAGGTAACCACGTTTTGGCCACTCAAACCCCACAGCCTCAAACAAGTTCTTGCCCTGTGAAACACAGACTTCTCTGAACAGGGGTTGGTGTCTACTTCATATTGTTTCTTTCACTGCTAAATTAGTGCAGCTTTGTCTCTTACTTTTTCATAGATAGACTGATAAATAGATTCCTTTAGATCAATCTAGTTTTAAGAAATCTAGTTAAATTTAAAAACTATCGATAACTCATTGTAGTCTATTTTGCTTTATTCTTTGAATTTGTTTTAATATAGTAGTTTGAATTATAAAATGCATTTATATATTAATGTATTTGCATTTAATAATTACTCTATATTTTAGCATTTGTTTCTTTCAACATGTTATTAATAAGTATATTGAGAATATTCTGCGGGCTGGGGATTTAGCTCAGCAGCATAAGCGCCTGCCTTGCAAGCAAGCAGTTGTGAGTTCGATCCCCGGTACCGATAAAAATGAAAAAAGAGAGAGAGAAAGAGGTGGGGGGAGAGAATATTCTTCTAAGCAAAAGAAATATTTCAAGGGATTTTGAGAATGTTACAATGATCTACAATAATCTTTACTAATACCCAGATTAATAATATTATTTGGTTTGTATCTAGGTGGAATAAACTGAAGTATCTGATAAACAAAACTGGATACTTGTTTTAATGTTCCTTTCATCCTATGAAAAATGTGGGCTCTGTTGTTAATGGCATAGATTTAGAGATTAAGCATGCTTGCATTTAAACTATGCAAGACATACTTTTCTAGATTATGTAACAGAAATTCCTTTATGATCTACTAGTTTTCCATTTGTTTTTCTCCACACAGTTATTGTGTACTTTAGTATCTTGTGAATGATGAGGTACATGTTAGCCCACATTTTAAAAAGAAAATAACTTATACTCTTATTTTCTATCTTCTTTCAATACACACTTATTAAATAGGTACTTGTGCTAGATTCTTGCCAAGTTAGGAAAAGTACATATTTTATTGGTCAAGATGATTGAAATGCTCCCTAAGCTTATAAAGCTCTCTGTCCTCACGTAAAATTCACATCTTCCTATAGAACTGAAGAAAAATTTTGTTAGAACAAAATTTACATCTACATTTTTCTAAAGCGTTGTAAAAAACTTATTGGACCATAATTTGCATTTATGTCTTTTGCTTAATATTTTCTAGAGAGCCTGTTCAATAGTAATTCACTGTCACCATGCCTATACCATTCTGTTCATGCTGACCCTTTTTATATAACTAGAAATTCCTCATAATTTTTACTCGTGGATTGTTTTTTCCACTCTATATCTATGACAACCTTTCTTTCCTTTGAGAAATGTTTGAAGGTTCACATGTACTACAATGTTTCTGACTTACGCATGGATTTTTCTAACTTAATCTATTAATAGCGCTATCTCTACTGATATCCTTTAAACCAGTTTTGTATATCCTTAATATTCACACTCACACTTCCAATTTTAAAAAACTACATTAGCATTAAATACCAGATTTTCATAGAACTGGGACTTTTCTTGAGAGTGTGTCTGCTAAATCAGTGTGTCCAGTTTTTAAATGTTGGTATCTCAATAAGAAATTTACCTACAACCACGCTATAAGATTTTCTTCTTTCGGTTTACCTTGAAGGTATTTATTGTGACTTCCTCATTATATTCTACTTTCTCCTTTTTAGGAAAAAGTCCCAAACAATTGATTAACAAGTTTTATTATCTAATAAAGTATGCAAGATTTACAGACTCCAAAGTGGTAGGTCATATATTCATTTAAAACAGTTAAAGCATATGCTGCTTACAGCAAAATTAGTTAAATAAAAATAATCAAAAATTCATATGTCTACTAAACAACAGGTACAAAAGTCTATTAAAAAAGAAATGAACTAGAATATAAAACTAAGATATAAAAAATCAAAGGAAAGAAAATATATGTTTTTATTTTTTAAAGTATCTGTACCATAAAATTGCCTACATATTTAAATTCTGCATTCCAAAAATTTATAACCAATTTACAAACCAAAACTATAGTAAACTTGAAGAGAAGTTGAGAAAAGATATTATAACTTAATAAATATAAGATTACTTCTTTATCCACCTATAGATTATCTTACTTGCAGGTGTGGATCATTGCCTGGAGTAGGTTCACTGTATTGACAGGATTCTTTTCTGAAGCAAGTAGCTTTCAAACTAAATAAACTCTTGGGGATCAGAAAAAAATGCATAAATATTTCAAATAAGACTGTTATTTTTTTTTAAGAAAAGTGAAAAAATACTACTGTATTACTAATATCTATAAATCAGGTTTTTTTAAAATTTTCTTCATATAACTAAGACGACATGGTGGTTGTCTCCTGTGTCTGGCATACTTCATTTAATATAATGATCTGCAGTTCCTTCCATGTTGTGAATAGTAGAATTTTGTTCTTTGTTGTAGCTTACTTATTCCATTGTTCATAAAGGTATTTTTTCTTAAATATAATTAGAGTTATAGAAGAGTATGGTTTATGCAAAATGAACACATAAAAATAGTACTACAAAATTTTCAACAGTAAAATTACAAAGACATTTTGCAGATTATAATAGATTCATTGGAGACATACTATCAAAAATAATCACAAATTTCATAGAAATTTACAATTACAGAGTTTGTTTTATTGCTAGTGTAAATTGACGAGGCAATTAAAACAGCATAGGCTAACTTACTTACTTTCTTTTGATTATTTTCCCTGGAACACAATAACTGACACCCACATTTTAAAGAAGGAGATGGTTAAATTGGTTCAGATTTTCAATCTACAATTAACTGACTCCATTCAAGTCAGGACAGCATGGCAAAGAGACATAGTGGAAAAAAGCTGCTTCTGTCACAATGGTCAGGAATCAGAGCACGAAGGTAGGAGCCAGAGCAGGAGGCATAACCTTTTCAGATCATAAGCAGATCCCACTTCTTAATAACAAATCAGCATATCATGCCACAATCCAAATATGTTCAGCTAGTGCTGCCTCTGGCAACGTGATCATTTAGGGAATCATCCAGACCTAAAACACAACAAAGTCTAAGATACAAGAGAGAGAACAGAGATGAGCT